TCACTTAGATAAGCATCAGAAAAGTAGAACCTTTTAGAGACACTTATTTCAGTAGCTCACATCTCTGTAACTGATAGTCTCGGTGGCACCACAGGCTTTCCTGACTCACTGCAGCTCAGACTTCATCTGAGATGGGGACACAATCAAGAGCTGTCACTGATGAGCAGCAGAAAGGTAGAAGAATCCAGTAGTACTGTCCCCTTATTTTTCAAAGTTGTGTGTCAAGTGTGTCTGTCAGAGCACATTACTCAGTGCAGCAGCCCAGAGCACACATCCATGTGTTTGTCCACTGCCCTTCAGCAGAATCTGTCGTAGCACAGGGTTGTAAGAAAAACCACTGAGGAAGAAAAAGCATTACAATTAATGTCGATTCTAGCCTTGTTAGCATCTTTTTTGCATTAAGGAATGGGAATGCACCTTGCTGTCACATTCTCTTCTGCATCAAACAGTCCCCCAGTAAATGTTGTGCAGAATCCTAATGATTTCTTGCAAGCTGATGTTGCAAAAGTAAAGATTTGTTTATTTCATTTGAAGGAAGACATTATGCTTCTGGGCACTTACCTGGCTCAAAATAAAAGTTTTAATGATATAAATTGCTAAAAACGGGTCACGCAGCTCTGGATGTGGAAGTCAAAGTATTGGAGCTTCTTTGGGTAGCGGGGAGGGATCACTGGTTCTTTACTTCTTTTGGTCGTGGGCTGCCACTGTTTTACTGTTAACTGGTAGAAAATTTATAGAGCTGTTTAATTTTTTGGTACTTTATTATGATTTTTGTGGTGCTCATCAATGGATAAAAAATGTTGAGACCTATATTTTCTGTCTTTTTAGAGGTTTTGAGTAAGTATACACATTTTGTAAGACTTTGAGTCTAGGAAAAGTTCCAGATCAGATATAAAATCAAAGACAATATTCAGAGGCAGTGCAGAAATAACCAACATGATTGGGCATGTTTTTAAGAGTCAATACAAAAGTGTAGTTCAGCTTGATAAACAAGAATGTTTTTTTCCTGACATGACCTAGTGCACTATTTCAATTTCACCCTCTAATTAGATCATAATTTTCAAATTTTTACTTTAGATTGAGAGCAGTTTACTTTATCTTCTGACTGTCTTGAAAGAAAGAAAAAACATGTATAATAACTCTGCACCATGCATTTGAAGCAGCCACGTGTTGCCCTGTAAGCTAGAAAAGTATTTTACAGCATTGCTTTTTTTTCCTTAAAAATTCAAATTACTGTAAAAGGGAGGTATGGGTAAACATCTATCTTTCATCTTAACTTCAATCCATTCCTTCTAAGGAGGAGGGAAGGGAGTAATGCACAAGAAGTTGCTAATGTACTTTTTTCTCCCCAACAAAACTTAATATCACTGAAAGTGTGAAAAGGATATCTGGCTGTCACCTTATCCAACCCCCCAGACCACACAGAGTGCTTGTTGTAAAGCTTGCAATTGCTATTTTATTGTAGCAATAATTAAATATATGCAATGTGATTCTGTAAGCACATAGAGAAATTCTATCACCTCAAAGGACAGAGGTTCATTTAACATCAGTTTGATTATATTCATGTTGCATGTTTTGTTCCTGTGCAGAAGCAAAAACTTTATTTTGCCATATGTAAAGCAAACCTGTACACTGGCACAGGCTGCCCAGGGAAGCTCTGGATGCCCCAACCCTGGAAGTGTTCAAGGCCAGGTTGGATGGGGCTCTGGGTAAATTGGAGGGAAATTCCCATGGCAGGGGAGTTGTAATGAGACGAGCTTTAATGTCCCTTCCAACCCAAACCATTCTGTGATTCTGTACACATATACAGATGGAGATTCTCCCTTTTTTCCCTTAGAGTATCTGGGGCAGAACCTTTACAGGAATTTAGTCTGAACTTACATTTGAGAGTCCAGAAAATTTATTTTTTCATTTAGTTCTTTTCACTGGAAACTTTCATTTTACCTGCCAAAACTCTTAATTCCGCTTTCTCATCAAATAATGATTCTGGAAAAAATGTTCAATTATCTCATTAGAAATCATTAGAAACATAACTTATTCAATAAGAACCTAAATATTGCCAAAATTTTCAATGACATTTGTAGAAACTTGTTTTTGGCTTTTTTTTAGTTTATTTTTTACATTTCTGGAAGTATTTAAATCATATTTCCATTCATTGATGGTCATTTACTTGAAGAAGTGGGTGAAAAAATGTCTTTAAAATTGTCAGTTTCCTTCATCATCATATCAAGGTATTACATTACATTTTCCACATTCTGTATTAAAAAAACATATCCTTTTCAATTTAGCATATTTTTAAGAAAATACAAATAAATCTCATTCAGGACTATGGAATTTATACTTCCCTGTTTTTTTTTCTTTTTAACAAGAAGTGTTTTAAAAGGCCCTCTATAGTTAGATGACTAAGTCAGGTATGCAGTAAACATTTTCAAAAAGTTTCTAATAACCAATTCTTTCACTTTAACATTGAATTTTTATGATTTGACATGGTTTTGTTCAACTAGGAAAATAAAGAAGTATATAATGCACAAATACTTTGTTATTTTAGAGCACAAAGTAGAACTAATTTTTTGAGTTTGTTTGGTACATAGTGGGAAACTGTAAAAACATGAAATATTTAAAATAGTTTCTGTAATACAGCTATAATAACAACATAATAGTTTAATTTAATTTAAGGCAACACTTTCTTTGATAGCAGCATTGCTTGTCAAAGTTGGTGGGAATGCTTTTTGTAGTATGACATTAGTATTTCATCCTGTCACAGAATTAGAACTTCTGTTGATGTCATAACTTATAAAGAAAAAATTCACATTGTATTGAAATTACATATTTATTAGGATATGATTTTTGAAACCAGTGAGGAGAGGCCAAAATCTGCTTTAAAAGTTATTTGGATTAGTTTTACAGCTGATTTTGGTGGAAGCAGGTAGGCAAGTACAAAATCAAAGCAACTCAAAAAAGAAAGGAATTAAGCCACAGATAAACTTCTAAAATATTCGTTTTGTATGTTTTCATTAAGATTAAAGATACACCCTAAAACAGGCAGATTTAAAGAACAAGGCTGTCCAGTTTCTATCTGTTTTCAGAAGTACATCAGATCCTCAGACAGGTGAGAAGGCTCATCACAGCCATGCTCCTCACCTCACCTCTGGATTTGGCCACGTTACTCTCACCTTTTGGGGCACAGAAAATAAAGGAGAGAAATGTTGGAAAAGTGTTGACAGTTTTAATAAATCAGATTTATGAAACAGAAACCTGCAGGAACAAAAGGGTTTCAAGTGGGAAAAACATGACTTAGGACTGGTAGAGCAGTAGCAAGGATGGGGAATGCTGAGTGTAAAGGAAATCATCAGCCATTAAGAGATGGAGAATTATGCAGCACCCATACAAGGAAAACTGAAAGTGAAATAACACAGTGTTCCACTATGGCAACTATGGCAAAACAAAGGAGCAATATTGTGACTGTAAACATTCCCTTCATTTTCCTGTGAAGATACCTTTGAATTCTAGCTTATTGTGTAATAACATTGTGAAGATCATTTCTATAATAAAACAACTCATATAACCTACAATGAAGTCAATTGCTTAAGTAAAATGCTCCCCTTCTTCTGAAAAAGGTTTTTACTTTTCTATTTTAGAGTTCTAAACAAAGACTAGACAAAGAATATATATTCATTGATTTAAGATAACTTTCAAATTACATTTGAAGTGGTAAAGATTTTATCATTAAAATTGTTTAAGCTGAAATATGAAAATCTGTGCTTAATCTGAAAACAATCTATAGTGTATCGGAGAGAAGGAAGAGAAAGAGGAGGATGATGATATTAGTAACCCAGTAAAAATATTTATATTATATTGCATTATGAAATTGTTTGGTGTCTGTTACAACAGTTCAAGTAATGTCTGGTCAGAATAATCTTGCTCTTATTTTGGCAGCAGGCAGAGCAGCAGATGGAATGTCCCAGTGAGTGGTGCTGGCTCAGGCATCACTCCAGGACATGGGAGGGAAGCAATGCTGGTGTGCAACACCCAGGGGCAAACTCACCCAGCCCCACTCCCCTGGGGTTTGCTGGGCACAGTCTCACACCGGGAAATTGTCACTGGCCAAGAGCTGAGCTAGTTTGGCACCTTCTTGAATCAGCTGTGTGCATGAGCCTTTTTTTCCCCAGGACCATGATCAGATACAAATCCTCTCCTCTATAAGCCTCATCTGAATTCACAGACTCCTGAGAATCACACTATTCAAAAGGGTTTGTAGCATTGCTGTCATGAGAATATCAACCGAGGCAAAACGTTAAAATATTTTTCCTGAGATCTGTAATGAAGTAAAATTAGCTAAACATCAGCTCTCAAAATTCAAACACAAAGCAAGATTGGGTGTGGAATGTGTTTATTTTGAAGTGTATGATTGCATTTTCAAGGTACAAGACTAAACAAGATGAGATCCTGACCCTATAGTCATTTGACAATACGCATATCTTTCCCCATATTAAATTATTTAATACTAAGAGCATGCAACTCTTTGCAGATTAAAAAACTTATTTTACACTCTAATTCAGAATATTACAAGCATAAATAATGGTTTGCCAGTCTCTTAAACTTTTCAGTAATTCTGCTTAGCATCACTGCTAATTAATTGTATTTGAAATGCAGAAAAGATAACTTACATCAATGTTCATGTTGAACATTGAAAATATTTTCATTGGGCTGCTTATTGATACTCCTACTCATGGAATGTTGTGATATTATTTGATATTAATTAGTGCCATTTATTTTTTTTAACTTACTGGAATTTTGGCATTTGGAAAATATTATGCAGAAGAAATGTTTTTTTGTGATTTTAATCAGGTACTATATATGTGTAATCATCAGAACTGTTTATTTCCAATAATTTCTGAACGATTCATTCCTAAACATTCTTTACTCTCCTGACCAACAGCTTAGAAAATTACATTTTAGGACTAGTGTTATTAATATATCTTAATTTTCTTTCCTTGAAGACACTCTTTTTAATGGTCTTGGACTTGGTGCTGTCATTGGCCTGGGAGTGGCAGCCCTTTTGTTAATCCTGGTTGTGACTGATGTTAGCTGCTTCTTTGTACGGCAATGCGGATTGCTCATGTGCATCACCAGGAGAATCTGTGGGAAGAAGAGTGGTTCAAGTGGGAAAAGTAAAGAACTGGAAGAAGGAAAAGCTGCTTACTTGTGAGTATTAATCACATGGGTTGGAAACATCCTTAAAAGAAAAAGTTGGCTGTCCAACTTACATTAGCTTTATGGCCATTTTGTGGTGTCGCAAAGGGAATTAATAAAATGCTTCTACTGCTTGGAAAAGTGCTGCTCTGAAGTGTGTAGAGTTGTTTATTGCCTTTAAAAGAAAAGTTGAGACACAAAAAAGAAATACGCTGTAGCTCAGTTTAGGATGACCTCTTTGTCCAGCTCGACACAAAGGAAATCAATTGTAATTCAGTACTAGTCGGAGACACAGATTTGGTTCATGAGAAGCAGGTAATGGATCATTGTAACTCCATTTCTGCAAATCCATCTTTGAGCTGCTAACACCCAGAAACTCGGCCTATGGCTGTGACAGTGCCAGTAAATCCACGAGTGAAGGACATGGTATTATAGAAAATCCGTGAGGGAGTTTTTCTTCTTAGATATAGCACTTGATGGAAAACCTTGATTCTTGTCTGTGGACTTTAGGAATGAAAGATCTTGTCTGTTTTTTTTGTTTTAATAGGAGATCTGAGCTGGATGTAGGTGAAATGGTGGTGGGTGATTGTTCTTTATAGCAACAGTCAGTGATTGCTAAACATGAATGGGAAATAATTGATATTGATTCTCACAAATACTCTTTTGTAGTGGCTACTCCATCACACAAATGTGAATGAACTGATCATTGGTGAAAATATGGTGAAAGTATGGTCTCTTAAATTATTAGAGTGGATAGTGAGATTTCTGGCAAAACAGTTCAAGTACTGATTACATAAAATAATCACACTTTAGGGTCGTGATATTTACTGAGTTTTCAATAAGTAAACTAGAAAGAAGATTACATATGGTCCTTCTTTTTAAACATTTCCTTTTCCTTTTAGGAAAAAAACATAATTTTCTCATCCTGTTCATCTGGTAGACAACTTACACATGCACTGTAATATTTGAGAATGCTGTCTGTGTGTGGTTTAAATAACATTTTCTGGTCCAACTGCTATGTTACTCTCCCAATAATCAGGCTTTATTGTTCATTATCGTTCAGCTTCCTAGGTCCCATCCATTTTCAGATGGATGTAGAGCAACACTAGATCTTGCAGCCCTCATTATTCATAGCTGAGCAGGTGTCTCCATTGTCAGTAGTAGAGGTGTAAGTGACTTTTGGGGATTTAATTCTGGCTATTTGGTTTCAGGCTGTGTCTTTCTTAGGTCACTTGGCTACACATCTTGGTTGCGTTCCTCTTGAAAGAGGTGCCATTTCAGAAACAACCCCACAGGACAAAACCAGTTGTGAGAGGGCAGAAAAGTATTTATAATGCTTCTAAATAGAAGAAATTACACAAAGTAGCTATTTCCTAATTCTCCACATCTGACAGTGAGAGGAAGACTAGCAGTGTTTTTTCCATCCTGTGAAGCCAGCCTGTCCAGATCGATAGAATCAAGATGTGAAGCTTCTGGCCCTGACCCAGCTGTCCTTTCCTATTGAGCACAGCACTTCAGTTTATGCTGAAGTTTCCCATTCAAGGAGTGGCCAACTATAAATTGGTGTACAGACTCTCCTAAATGGGAAGACCTTAGGGAGATAAAGTTGGAAATGTCACTTGACAGCAGTTTATACCTTGCTATCAACATCTTATTATCAAATGCCATTCCAGGCTGTCCCAAAAAAGCACCGAGCTCGTCTCATGATATTAATTCTTCTATTGCACTTCTTCTGCAAGAACAACTATGTTGTTTAATCATATTTCTTTCCTTGTCAGAATGGTCTTCAGTAAGTCAGAGCTTAAAATGTTTGGGACAGTTCTTATTTTAGCCTATTCTCTGCATTAATAAACTGTCAGACTAAACTCCCAGGAGAGACCTGAAGAGTCAACATTTAAATATATATAATGGTAACTGATATTGCCTAAAATTCACTGACATTTCTCTGCTTTAAATATGCTAGTTTGCATTCTGGATTTTTGGATGGTTTATTAAAGGATTCTTGGTTACATTTTGTAGGCGAGATATATATATATATAGAGAGAGAGAGAGATAGAGATAGAGAGAGATAGAGATATAGATATAGATACAGTAAATAATAATGTTCTATACATAATGAATGATGATGATATAATCCATGTAACACACAGAGACATCCATGGCATAATGGATTTCCTACAAATCACTTTCCCTTCTTTAAAATTTGAAATGCTACAGTTTCTACCTTCTGTAAATATACATGACTGATGGTCACAAGTAGCATCTTTTTAGTCCTTTTGTCATGCAACATTGTTTGTAAGGCTGCAGATTTATCAACAAAGCAAGAACTTACCAGTCCATCCACCAGTCCAACTTAGATCCCTAATCATTTCCTAGGTATGAAGTAGCCATGAATGTTAAGTGCATCATCTACCAAAATGAGCTTTGTATCCATTTGGGTATCTTAAGTGTCACTTGCAGAGATAAATAAGCACATGCAATTTTGGGGTTTTTTAATAGATGGAAATATTTTATATTTTTATGTATTAATTATTCTTCACACTATTTCTCTGTCTGGACTACATTCTTATTAACCTACAAAGATTTTCCTTAAGGATACCTGTCAGAGTATGGTAGAGTTTTCTTGATACTTCCTGTTGCAAAAGCCTGTTATGTCCATTATCTTGAAGAAACAGTATGAAAATGTGAGAAAATTTAGTTAGGTCTTTGGTGTGGCCTGTAGCAGTCTAACAGCTCCCTACAGTTCAGAAAAGAATCTGTTAAATATAAAAATAATTGTAACTAAAAATTGCCTCTGTTTGAAGACTGCAGCTGATGCTGTTCCAGGATATAGGAATAAAATCTTTTCATCAAAAGAAGTGGTTTTTTGTAAATATATATACATATATATATGTGTATATGTATGTGTATATATATATGTATCTATAGGTGTATGTATACATATGTATATATGTATATATATGTACATATATATATATATCTCAGGTATCATCTAATCTTTTTGAGAGCAAAATTGTATTAAAGTTTTTCATTACTTTAAATAAGTATTGTTCATTAGTATGTACTGTTAATACTTTGTGGCAGTGAATAGATATTTCCAGGTCATGCCCATATTTCTGAGCAGCCCTGCAGAGAAGGACTTGGGGATTCTGGTTCATGAAAAGCTGGACATGAGCCAACAGTGTGTGCTCACATCCCAGAAAGCCAAAGGTGTCCCAGGCTGCATCAGAAGCAGCATGACCAGAAATTCAGGAGAGGTGATTCTGCCCCTCTGCTCTGGTGAGAACTCACCTGAGTGCTGCATCCAGCTCAGCAGTCCTTGGTAAAGGAAAGACATGGATTTGTTGGATCAAATCCAGAGAAGGGCACAAAGATGATCAGAGGGATGAAGCACTCTCTGTGAGGTCAGGCTGAGATAAAGATTTTTCTGAGTCCCTTTGAAAGGGAATTTATGAAAAAAGATGGGGACAGACTTTTTACAAAGTCAAGGGATGATGGTTTTGAATTGAAAGTGGGTAGATTTAGACTGGACATGAGGAAAATCTGTTTTACCATGAGGATGGTGAAACATTTGAACAGGTTGCCCAGTGACAACCTGTAGATATTCCATTGCTTGAAACACTCAAAATCAGAGTTGAATGAAGCCCTGAAGAACCTGATTCGCTAGCTGCAGGGGCATTGGACTAGATGACCTATAAATGTCCCTTCCAGCCCAAACTATTCTATGATTCTTTGTTTACCAACAAAATCATAATGACAGCACTCACTGCTCCATCTCCTTATAATTAATTGTGTCATTAGCACAATATTTGTACATTTACTTACTTGAGAGACTAGCAGTTCCTCAAATGGGGGAAATATGATGTAGAAACAGTTTTTTCTACCAGCAAAAGCAGAAAGGCTTCGATTTTTACCACACAAGGACTCTTTGCATTAATGGCAGCTGGAGTTGTCACAATCCAGGAGATTAAAGCACACTTTTGTGGTGTGTATACTCACATAACAGCTCTTTAACACTGCCAGAAAAGTTCAAATATAACTAGGCATCAAATCCAATCATTATTTTACTAGGTTAGGGAAGTTTACATCCATTCCCATGAAGAAGCTGTCACCTTACTATTAGTCATAAACAAAATGCTCTTTTGAGATGCTAATTCATCATGTTTACAGAGTTAGGGAAGTAACCATGGATACAGGATGCTTTGAAGACTTCAAGGAATTGGGAACACGCTGTTAAATGTGTCTTGGTGGTGTTAGTCACTGATAATTAGTTCTGCTTTTTCTTTGCCAACTTTTGAGAGAAAGGATCTTAGTAATTCTTTATGTGCAATGTACGTAGTTAATGTGATGATAAGAGACTAAAACTCCTTTAATAATTTTTAGGAAAGATGGATCAAAAGAGCCAATAGTGGAAATGAGAACAGAGGATGAAAGAATCACCAGCCATGAAGATGGGAGTCCAGTAAATGAGCCAAATGAGACAACTCCCCTCACAGAACCAGAGTAAGTAGCCTGATATTCCCTGGAGTTTCACACGAGCTGATCTTGGCTGTGTGGACAGACTGGACTTCCCACACTCTGAGGGGAGGTACACAGTATCACCAGAATGGTCTGCAGTGGCAAGGCAGTGTGTGAGTGTGGGGTTTGTTTGATTTGTTTGGTTTTTACAATAATCAATTTAAATCATGGTGCTTCACCAATACTGGCTGAGCACAGCAGTACAAGGATTTTTTATTTGGTTGCACCTTGTCTTTACCACCTACCCAGAAACTTTTAACTGCCCTGTGGGAACAATCTCCTAGCTCTCAGGAGTGCCCTAATTTGAGTCTCACATGCATCTTCACACACATCCTGAAAATGAGGCACAAGGATACTATGCTCCAGAAACCCAGCTCCTCCCTTCCTGCTTTCATACATGTAGCTGAGAATTTTGTTTGGTATTTAGGTCCACACAGTGTAATTGGATTAATTGTGCTGAAGGGCAGCCTCTGCTCCATTTCCTCACCCCCTATCCCTGTCCCTGCAACCTTCTCTCAGTACAGAAACCAGTTTGCAGTTTGCAGCCATGCTCACAGGCTCTAGCTGCCTTCCAGCCTTGTGCCCAGGGATAAAATTACTGAAGAAACCTCTATGTTTTCTTTGCTTTGAGCCCAACACTTTCCCCATGTTGGGGAAATCTCTTATCTCATGACATCTTTAAGGCATCAGGGTTATGAAGATGATTATGTAGTAAATACAGAAAGTCACCTCTTGATATTTTGATGAAATCATAGTTCTTTAAAAGGAGAGGGTGTTCTTTCAAAACAGTCTTTTTATTTTCTGAAAATATGAAGACATTTCGGTTTTTTTACCATTATGTAAAACTGTGAGAGCCAGAACCTTTAATTAAATAAAAAGGTTCGCTACCAGCTGCCATTGATATTTTTAGTAAATAGGGAGTTAAGTAGCAGCACATTAAGCTGCATAGTTCTTTGAAGAAGCCATTCACAGAGAGTTTGAACTTGTGTTAATGAAATAATTATGCAATCTGTTGAGTGACTACTGATATGTTTGCTCTTCATATTAGAATTTATAAAAAGGGGCACAGTGGAAAGCCCACAGTTATTTAAAGAGTCAGGGGAATGTAGGTGTAAACATTGTACAAGTCCAGCAAGCCTTGGATATGCTAGTGGGTAAAGCACCAGCTCCAAGTTTGTTCATGATTCAAGACTATTTTTAACACTAGATCTTGCAAATCAGATGCATCTTGCAGGAAACATGATACCAGGAAAGATCCAGTTCACCTGCTTCTGCTTGTCACAATCATTAGATCAGATGAGAGGAGTGAAATATGAGAAAGTTAAAATCAAAAATATTTTATAATCTTAGGGAACGTGGAAAGAATCAGTCCCCACTATCATGACAGAAGAAAAACCCAAAACAAAACAAAAAAAGAACCAACTAAGCCTCTGAAAAATTAACTCTCAGGAACAACTGATAAGTATATGATGGGCACTATGTCCTTGCAAAAATAGGTCTGCTAAGAGATATAAGTATGATGACAACTTCCTTCTTGGTAATTTCTTCCCTCACAACCAATGGCAAAAGGTGTCAGCAGCCCAAAGCACAGCTGTACAGAAGTCAGCTAAAGATTTGGGACAGTGTCACTTGTGAAACTGAAGATGAGAAGAGGGTGCAAGAGATGGTGAAGGGCCATTGATACCAGGGGAATATGGAAAGACCTTTGACTCAGCCACAGGTCATACCCAATGAAAGAGAGGAGCAATGTAAAGTAGGAGTGAGACACACAAGGGGAAGATGCAGAAGAGGAGAAATCAGCCTCTCAGTAGGAATAACACAAAAATACTTGGTCAACAACAGCCAGAAAAACACATGCTGGGCAGGGTGAGGACGACGATCCAAGGGATCTTGGAGGGGAGAGCTTAGCTTGCAGGAAAGAAAAATTCAAGGACATTTCAGGCAGAGAGTGAAACAAGGTAGGGTTCATTATGACTAATTCTGGCTGTTTTAAAGGTATACAAGATTATCTCAAAGCACTTTATCTGCAAGTCAACAAGTTTTAATCATGCTGGCAGGAAATCAGTTTAAACTGTGGATTTCACATCACACTCTTTTGATATGAATAAAATACCACATACAATGTGGGAAAATAATTATATTCCTAGTCTGACATTAATATGTTTCTAATATTGGTTGAGTTTTTCTTAGTATTAATGCAGTTGGGTGAATTCCAGTATCAAAATGGCTAGGAGTCATTTTTCTATATAATAAGAAAGTAAATATTGAAGCTAAAGTTTTGTATGGGTATCAGCAGACTGTTGATGAGAGGCCACATGCAGTGCTAGAGAAGTCAACATTATTAATAATTGATAGCTGCCAACATCTGATTAAAGTGAGAAAATTTTTTGTTGGTTTTTGTGGGATTTTTTAAAGAAATCGTTTTATTATAAAATGAATAAACATTTGAAAGGATTAGTTTGCTCAACTGAAAAATATAAAATTCTTTCTAATAGGTGTCACTAAAGAAAAATTTGGTGGAGAAAGATTGGTATAATTAAAACACTTAAACTTGAATTAGAGAGATTAAATATGTATTTGAAGCAAATGGAAACAAAAACTCCAAAATAAAAATGTTGTCATAGGGAAAAAGAACAATGTCCAATGATAACTTTCATTCATAACTCACACCCTATTAAAATAAAAAAACCCTCAAAACAACAAGTTTTAAAATACAATAAGGTTTAAGAATGGTGCATGAACTTTGTGATGAGGAAAGTTTTGATGCATAAAACTTTTTACTTGTGTATATCTTTTGTTGAGTTGTTGTTCTCTGCTTGCAAGTAAAAGCAAGGTTAATTTTATCTCACTGTTTGCATGAGCATGGATTTCAATGATCTCCAGTATCTTTCAACAGGGTTCTAGCAAATCTTCCTTTTTGAAATATTTTGTAACATGGTCTAAATCCACTTAAACCAATTTCCTTAAATTTCCACTCAGTATAATTTGTCAATTCCCTAGTTTTGACTTTGACTAAATAGTTCCTTCTTTCCAGCACCATCTTTTGAGAAATCACTCTGCTTTTCTTAAAACTATATTAAATTAGGTTTTGGGGGTTTTTTAGTACTTGTTTTAGTGTTTTGCCTAATCAGATCTCTGACCCACATGCCTGCCTACCAAAAATGCATCTCATGAGCTGCCCTTTCTCTGCCCCAGTGTTTTACCTTCTGTTAAAAATAGATTTATGTTGATTGTGTTGTTCCCATTCTTTCAGGCACCTTGCTGTGGCCTTAAATCTGTTTCCTTTGGGTTTGCCATGAGAAACAGACAATTAGCAGATACCTCCCTCTGTGCTTAGAACCAGACATCTGATGATATATCCCATGTATTTTACTGTAGTAGAACAAGTTAATCTTTGATTTCTCTCAGATACATGGTGTGCTCATTGTTTAACTTCTGGATAATCAGCATCTTTCTTAGTTCATTTCAGACAACTTAAATTTCATAAGACTGGGAATTCAGGTATTGTTTTGTTTTATTTTCTGTTATTAAACACTGCCTTGTAATAAGACATTCCTACAAGATTCCTCAGACAGGTTTTGAACATTGTATTGCTGTTTGGGACATTTAATCATGCAAAGCAGAAATTTACTGAAACATTTAACAGTTATTATGAATAAAAAAGGCATATGCATTCTATTCCCTAGTAAAAAACCAGAAAGCAAACCTAAACTTGAGTCATGATTAAGAGCTATTATGCCCAGGAGACATGATTACAGGAACATCTCAGTAAACCATACATCTTTTTGGCAGCTATATTTTTGACAGCTAATTACTGGCAGAAGGGAATCAATGATTTTTAAAGACCTTTCTCAATGAGATCACATTCAACAGAGTGAGGGACTCTTTTGCCAATTCCTCAGAGTTTTCACTAAGTCTTAAAAGAGCTGTAAGTTATTAATAATGCTACATTGTATAAACCATGAAAATTAAACTGTAGAACTTTCTAATGATGACTTCCATTACCTCCTACACTATAAGAAATTCTTTACCTATCTTGGCATAATCCATAATCTCCAATAATAGCTGTGTTGCTTTGTATACAACTGAATTTACATTTAGAAAAGACATTAAAAAGAGTTTAATTGAGATTTAAAAGTCAAGCAAAAGGCTTGACTGTGTTTCACAGTATTCACAGGCAACACATACTTCTGTACTGTTTTGGGTCAAACAATTTGATTTTTTTTTCTCTTTTGTCTCATTTAAGAACTGCATTTTGAGCAGCACCAATGTTTCTATCATGGGATTTTTGTGGCTTTATTGAAATGGAATGAATTAATAGGAATTGTTTTAAAAGCAAAGACCCTCAGTGCTCATAATAAAATAACTATACGTTACTTAAAAAAAAACTATTGTTCTACACTGTAACCTATATGAACTGTATATATGTTATGGACTTAAATTACAGATTGTTTTATTTTTGTGTTACCATGATTCCTCTTTTTTTTTTTTTTTTTATAGGAAGCTGCCACTAAAGGAGGAAAATGGCAAAGAAGCTTTAAATCCAGAAACCATAGAAATCAAAGTTGCTAATGACATCATCCAGTCAAAAGAAGATGATAGCAAAGCATAATAAGATAAACTACAGCTGTCTGGATAATGCATTTGGATTGAAGTAATCCTGTGACCAAAACTTTACAGCTGACCTTAATTTCTTGGGAAACTTAAGCTTGGAATAGTTAGTACATGTGTACATACGATGAAACAGTTCCTGTCTACAGTTCTTTTCTATATTTTTTTTTTCTTGTTTGGTTGTTAATGGTTTTAGTATGCAATTTTGCTGACACCAAGTCCCATGCTATAAATCTGGAAAATCTGCAGAATAAGAACTGTAATTTATTATATGAAAAAGAGTGTCTACTTAGAAGAAAAATTTTGAAGCACTCCTAACCACAAAAAATCACATCAGGCCTCTCCAGATCTTACAGCGCAAGCTACATACATAAAGTGCATAAATATGATAATGTATTTATTTCCATTTATAATAAAAGGAAATTTTAGGTTGCCTTTAGAAAAAAAGAACTCAACTAAACCAGTCTCAATATATTGTTTAAGACCTTAACTCTGGCAGACACTCAATAGCCGTTCCAGCTGTGATTATCACTTCAGGCAATCGAAAAAACAAAACACTTCAACACAGAGTCAGGTCCCACTGCAGTTTCTCCTGGGTTCTTCAATAAATACATTTTAAAAAAGCTAGTACTCACAATATACAAACTCAAAAATTGGCTAAATATTTCACAACAGTTTATTGGCCTCATCCTAACTACAAGAATGTAACTCCGAAAGGCTCCAGGATTTTCAGTGATTTAGGTTTTCTGTATGAAAGTTTTGAAAGTTACATGTGAACTAAAATGCAGCCAAGGCATAAAAAGAAATCTGTTTTTAATCATAATCTTCACTTCAAACGAAAACTTACAAAATTTGTCCCAACATATTTATACATACAGGGTTTTCATTTTTGTCTTAGTTCAAACCATTTAGCTAAGGGATAAAACTGTAGTTTAATGAAGTAAATACCTTTTCTCCCCAAATCAATATATAAAATATTAAACTTGGCCTTTTTGAATCAGGACTTTTCCCTTTATGATTTTATACCCTTTGTCTTAAGTACAATGTGAGAACAGACAGAAAGGCGATTTTGTCTAAGCAGTTTGGAACAATTTTAAATTATTGACTAATTCAATCTTATATTCAACCAAATTCATGTTTTCCATGTCAAGCTTTCCTTAAGATATTCCTTTTTATTATTCTGATCAACACTCCCCACCAGGAAATCTGACTGATTTATTTGATCTTAAATTCATTCATATGAATTATTAATTGATTTAGTGGTGTCACTAAGTGGAGCAATATAATTTGTTTCCATTCCAGCACAGTGTATCCACACCTACCAGACTTTTCAAAGCCTTGCTTTGAAATAAGTAGATAAACCATATAGAAAACTAGACTGGAAAATTCTACTTGTCAGAAGTAATTGGTAGAATAAGTTGTGAATTTTCCACATCTAAGTCATGCATGAGGTTTAAGTGTATTTTTACTCATCAAATTGTGTTTTCTCCATCTAAATTTTGATAATATTTGAAGTCTTTGTACTTTTTGAATTTTGTGCATTAAAACTGAAAGTGAAATGTAAAAGGATCTCCTTAAATTTGAGGAATATATCATAATAACCTTCAACCCAAGTTTAAGTGCATTTGAAAGAGCTGAGGAGAATATATATATATATAAATATATTTATATTTACTTCTTAGATATTTCTTATTTTTCAAAACCAAGTTATTTTATGAGTTTTTTACAACTTTTTCTCACTTTGAGAAATAGCTAAAATGAACCAAGGAGTTGAGGACAGAGGCATACTGCTGGCGTGGCTAGGATAGGAGGCCAAGTTCCCACAAAATCAGTACCAAAGTGAAAATAAAAGGGTAAAAGGAGATGGCAATATGGGATGAAAGTCATGGAAGATTACAATTGAAAATTGCTGAAAAGAAGTATCTCTAAATGCTGAGACACTAATTCTGGAGGAAGGAAAGACGAAGATATTCATTTATGAATACTCAATGTTGCTCCTACATAATGGGCAGGCAGTACTACTAAATAACTGCTTGAAATTATCAGATTTCTGATAATTTTTAATCAGGTTTCCTGGTTCTTTCTAAGCACACAGCAAGCAGGCCTGCTCATAACATATAATTAGGAGAACAGTTGTTTTATTTATCTGTATGGACTTGTAGTCTTTCCAGAAAGTGTGTATTTGCAGCTGGGCTTTCTTCTTCTATCAAAATGCACAGAAGGAACCTGGACAACTCCAGCAACTGAGAATGATGTGGTTGGTGTGGCTTGAACCTCCTCTCGAACAATATTTTTACCAGGATGAGGATGAAGATGGTAGACATAGTTTACTCTTCACCTGCTGAGACAAATTTGGATGGTACCATTCAATCTTCTCTACACAAATGGTGTTTTTTCTGAAGCTAGCCTGATCATTTCCAAAAGAAGGTGCCTATACAATGTAGCAGAACTAACAGTGTCTAGGCTCAACTGCAGATGCATTTCAAATTTTAGTACTTTTTAGTTGAACTTACACAAAGAAAACCCCAAAAAATTACCTAACAGTTCTATATTGGTGGTTTTTTTCTGTTTTGTTTTTTTTTTTTCTTCTTTTTTTTCCTGATACGGCCTCTAATTACAGTGTGAAGGGATTAGAAGATTTAAGAGGTCTTGTCAGCACATTTATTGCTAATACACCTGTGCTACTCTTTACAAGCAAAATATATTGCAGTATTATTTCAATATTGGAAGCAAAAGCATTTCCCACTATGCTGCATTACAAATCAAAAGCTGTTTCCATGAGTGTTTAATTTCTTCTTGCTGTTATGTCTCTTGGCAGTTGATCTGTGTGAGGGCTGAGAATAAAACAGCTCTAAATTTCTGATGGACTGTCCAAGCACACCTTTTTGGTCTATGGATTAATAGGTTATCTCTTGTGCTTTAACTCTGTGCTGTGCAGGAGAAAACCAAACTCTCACTATGAAAGAATGCTGAAAAACACTGATATTTCAAAATAGTTCCAAATATTTCCAAATGAGGAAATAATTTACGCATAGTAATTTGTAAGATATATGTAGAACTGGAATAACAACATTTGTTTATTTTCTTTTCCTATTCTAGATTAAAAAAACAAAACAAACAAAAACAGGTATCTGTATAAATGTCACTTTTACTGTCTAAAGTAATTTTAAGTGTTAGTATGAAATGTCAGAAGAGTTGACAAAATATAACTATTTGTAAAAGTAATCTGAATTGTTACACTAACATACTCCAGGGACCAAGGTGGGAGGGAGCCATTGAAATTAGTACTGAACAAAATGTGACAGTGACAATCTCTTAAAAAAAAAAAAAAAAAGGAGTACAATTAAGTAAAATTACTTAAAGCTCCTTGGAATTTTTTTAGTTTTTTTAGTGGACTTGAGTTCTGATTTTCCACAATAACAACAAATTTTTAATTAATATTTTACAATTTAGTAATCAAACGTACCCTGGAGAGTTTTTTCCTGGTTTTGTTGTTTATTTGCCTTTTTTGACTTATAAGATTTTTTTGTGGTTGCAGAAAAATATTTGCTATTCTGGTGATGCTAATGCCTAACGTGACAAAGATTAATTTATTCAGGCCTCGGTCTTGCAAGAAATTTTGTGTGGTTGAACCCACCCCTTCTGTGGCACTGCCCTGGCATTAGTGGGGTGGATGTGAGCTGGAAGGTGGATGTACTTTCATAAGAAACCTTGCAGGATTGGGCCAACTTTCTATCTCTTCATAGATATCTACAACGTAGTTACACCGTGGCCATCATCTCCAAAGGCTGTTTGACACCAGTCCCTGGTGCAGTAAATCCCAACTGCTGTCTTCAGCCTCTGCATCGATGTTCATCCAAACAAAAGTGGCTTTCTTTTTATGATGGTAATTAGTTTGATTATTTATTTAAGTGCCAATCATCAAACTGTAGTATAATCATCATGCCGTTTTTTTCTGTTTCCTAGACCAGATAATGGAAATGTATTTGTGCCTTTTGATAGCATGCCACTCTGCTTTATTAAAAAAAAATCTTCAATAATTTGTCTACAAAGCCTGTTTAAAATAATGAAAGCTTTACTGTCACATACTTTTCTGCTCGAATATTCTCAAATATACATCTAAATCAATCTGAGGGTATTATTTTCAAATAACATAAATATTTGAAACATAAATTTGCAAAAATTTTTGAGATCCTGATTCCAATGAGGGTCATGGTGGATGTCTTACTGCTGAAAAGTTTCAAATAGATGAAGAATGTAGTGGATGTGTAGGGGTGTTTTGACCAATTTCTCAAGTTCAAGAGTCAGATAGAAAGTCTCCTTACTTCTATTTAAGTGCTTAGACCTAAAACATTAAATCTGAAACATTAAATCCTCCAACCTGAAAGATGCTATGGAGCATCTTCCCAGCACTTTACCTCTGGAGATAAACTGGAGAGAATGTTTGTTTTGCAATCATTTGCAGCCTCACCATCGCTACGTAGGCTGCTGTAGGAAGAAACATCTTTGCAGAATAGTTGTGTCTGTTGGATATTCACTTCTGATTAAAGAACCTCCAAAAAGACCATTTACTGAGAAAGCTCAAGAGCTCTTTGATCTATGGAGGGGTGCTAAGAGTGCTGCACAAAGAGTTACAGTGCAGGAATCCAGGTCTCAATCCAGGCTCACGGGATTTAAGACAAAAACTGATTCCAGCAGGACCTGGATTTTATTCATCCATCTCAGCGAGTCTCTACGTGTCCTCAACTGATGGAGCTGTTTTTGTGAACCAGATTTCCTGGTGTAAGTGGAACTCAAATGTCCTGCCAGACTCCTACTGACATTTTGCACAGAGGAGGTTTTTCTATCAGGAGTTTTTACTGATTAGGAAATTATGATAGAATATCCAATGACAGTTTTATCCCATACATTACAATGTCCAGAAAGAAAATATCTCTTTAAATAACTCATTGTGGTTGCAATACTTCTTTAGATGAAGATGAAAACCTTGTAAGTAAATAATGATCCTTCTTAAATCTCCTTGTTTAGCTTCAGATAATCTTTCTGATAGATGAAAAGCTACCATGGTTAAATTAACCTTTTTAAAAACTCTTCACCCCTTTTCCAGATTTTATCAGATTTTTTTCAAGTTCCTGAAATACCCTGTCCACTTGACAGCAGTTCTGTAAGTTTTAAGTGATCTTCAGTATTTCCACTGCTCATATGTGTTCTTATATCAATTTACTTGGACCTGAGCCAAAATAAGCCTTAAAAATTTGGCTTTGGATCAGTTTCTGAGAATTCTCAGTTTAGCAGTCTATCTTTTCTCTTAAGAGGCATTGAGATCCTCCTAATGTTTGACTTTCAAACTTGAATATTGGCCATTTTTAGCCCAGAGAAATGAGATAAATATTTATTGCCAAATTTGTATTGGCAGCTTTTGGGTGACAGGTGAGATGGGGAGCGGGCGAGGCGACCAGACGCGGTGCCGACAGAGCTCAGGAAAGCCAGGGAGAACAGGTGCCAAAGAGAGAGCCAGGAGAGGGCTGGGAGCATCTCTCCTTACCACTGACAAGGGAAAAGGGGAGCAACTGAAGCAAGGGAGGCTGCTGAAGGGCACTGCCAAAAGGCAGGGTGATGAGAGCTCTGAAAACCAGGGAAGAGGAGGAATTAACCCTGCCACATCCTTTAACTCCCCCATGTCATTAGGCTATGGTTTTTCAGATGTAAAATGCAGGGTTGGAGGAAGTCAAGACGAACCCTCAGAGTCTCTACAGGTCAATGACAAATACATAGAGGAGTCAGATTCCCCCAGAAGATAATTTTATTGCTCATGGTGCAGAGTTCTCACTAAGAGTTTTGAACTACTTAGACAAGATTTTAAAAAGAGAAAAAAATAAAAAAGGCTTTCCTGCTGCACTGAGCAGTCGGTACGTATTTGTATGCTGTGTACAGTATGAGCTAAAGCATACCATCTATTGTTTTTGTTATTTCACATGTTGTCAACAGCCCACTTGCGATATCTGCCACCTGAATTATATATTGATAAGTTAGCTACCACTGGAGCTAGTTTGTTTATTGTTTCAGAATCTTATGTCCCTATGAAATGCTGTGTGTATATATATATATCTCTATACTGTAAAAAGAAGTAATATCGCAGATGCTGGTTTTGTATTTATGAAAGACATTGAAAGTATGGCTTAAAGTATATCAATTATTTGTCACTCTTCACCATTTGTATATTAATAGTAAAGATACTTTTACTTTAATGAAGTGTTGTATTTACATTTATTTTTGCTAAGTGTCTTTCTGTCAAGATGCCTGATTCATTGGGAGTCTCATTTTCAAAAAGAAACATACCCTTTACTTTACCCCTGTTATAGAATTACTGAATAATGCTCACACAGACCTGCAATTTATTATTCTCTTTTCTGTCAAAATACATCTATTGTTAGTATCCTGAGTCTCCAGCTGAGCTTGAGGCCCATTATGATCATCCCCAATAGAGAATGTGCTGATAGATAATATTATTTTTTTTCCAAACAATGCAAGTGTCACTATAGGACACGAAACAACACAAGTGCACACACTGCTGTTCTCAAGGTGAAGAAAAAAGGGGAGTTTATTTTCTGACTCCAACATTTATAGTTTTCCAAAAGTGACAGTGGATTGGAGGGTGACAGTGCCACCTCTCCAATGACACTGGAGAAACCAACAATCCATCACTTTCTCCTCCTCCATAAAGGAATGCAAAACAATGAGTTATTTACAGAAAGTGTGTGAGAAAGTTTACTACAGGAATGTCAACATCAGAAGGCTTAGAAAATCTTAAAAGAACAGGGTGACATGCAAGCATGACATTTTAGAGGTATTTAGCTTATGCCAGAGAAAAAATTTATTGACGAAGCCACCTTATTTTGCCAAACCTAGAACCTTCCAAAAGTCTTGTAACTGTGTTAGCACCACCAGGAGATGATGGAAACTGCAATTAAATGGGCTTTTACTGCTGTGCTGGATTTTATTCCACTGAAGATGGAAAATGGACAAAGAACAGCCCAGATAATATAGATCAGCCATGTCCCTGAAATGGCAGAGGGGTGTCTGTGGCATCCATATTACCACCAATAAAATTAAGTAACCCAAGAGTAACTTACTAGATTGTGTATTCATGCCTAAGGATCAGTTTTCTGAGTGTAACCTAAGCTCTTAAAAAACCACACCAGCCTAAGAATGGAAGGGTAGTACATAGGAGAAATATATTTTTTCACCACACAAAGTCTTCACAGCTTAATTTTCTTCCTTCCACAGATCCTTAAGCTCTGCCACTGCAGATGTCTTATGCATGTACTTCTTAAAGTGCCAGGGGCAACATTAACAATTAGCAAAAATATCTCTTTCTATTGAAAAACTGAACATGAGGGAAATGCTTCAGTGTCCTCTCAACATCAGCTTGCCACTGAAAGCTTTTCATATAATCATGTTTATTGATCATAAAAAAACCCAGATGTCCTGAAATGATGCACACATTCAGTTTCAGATTTCTTGAAAGCCAATCAGTACAGTTCACTGGTCACAAGAGAGGTTGCTCCTTTAATTTACAGGTGAGTATTAATATAATTATTGCAAATTGCTGCTAACAAAAAGGTAATGTAAGACGTGTTCAGAAACAGATTCAACTTTTTAAAATTTAACCTTGTTAAAATATATCATGCTCTCACAAGCTTCAGACGTGCTACTCAAAACACAAGATAAATTATAGTCAGGTACCTTGATAATGATAGTTTGTTTATCTGTGTCATTCCTAAATTAGACACAGCTAGAACTGCACCAAGAAAATCCAAACAAAATGAAAAAAAGTCACACTTCGATTCTTGGCAAAAGATGACTAACTCTCTCATTTGAGCCCTTGCATATCCTGAAAAACAAGTTGCATTTGTAAGCTCATTCATATGAGGAAAATGCTTATTTTTGGGGGCATGGTTAAAATTTCTTGGTTGATTTATTCAACACTTTCTAGAAAAACCCAAACCTCTAGACTGAGCATAGTGTAAGACTTTAATTTCTGTAAAAATCCTTTATGCAGCAAAAAGATAAAACTGTCTTTGATTAAACACAGCACTGAAGCCCATTCACACTCAGTGCCAATATAAAGCAATGCCAGTGGTGTTGCTGAGAAGGCAGAATGAATCACATCTGGCAGGAGAGTGATCAAGTCAGGCACAAATTTGTTAAATTCTCTCAGGCAATCTGATGATAAAGAGAACAAAATTTTGGAATGAAAAAGGAAACCTTATTCTGCTAAGCAAATGTCATCTTTTAGGGATAAACTGGGAATTGAGAAATTATATCTTATTATTTTAAAATTTAAAAAGTTATCCATTGTCATAGACCACATCATGATGAATGAATTTTACTTTGACACTTATTTTTGTCATAGATCACAGAAATAACACTTCATCATTAACTTGTATCTGAAGGCCTAAATAATCTTTAATCACAAGAAATAGAAAGTTGCTATGTACTGCTATATATTCTCCAAAACCATCAGAAATAAACATCAGAACTATTTAAAAATTGTTTTCAATTTTTTTATGAGTTACAGATCTCTTTAAGAAAAAAAGAACTTAGAGAAAGTAATTTCACTTGCACACAGTGTACCGTAAATTTAATTGACAAGGCACTTGCACTGAAATTCAAACTGCTGTGTGATAAGTAGCACAGAATAAAAGTGGTGAAGTATTTTAGAGTTTTGCTATGCAAAACTTTTAATTACAGACAAGTTTTGTAATGAGGCCATTCCCTAATGGGATGTAAGTGTCACTTGTTACACTGAAGTCGTTGTTCTGCCCTTCTTGGAATTCATGACACACCCATCTGCAGCATTTTCTCCTATCATCTTTTCTGTAAAGTATATACTCAGTAGAAAGTGGAATCTTCTGAAAAATTAAAAGCATTTATTCTGGAAAATATGATTTTTTTTCTTTGCATAAAGGAAAACAGACAAAAATCACTTGTATATTCTGGTGACTTAACACTGATATTATTATCACTGCTGTACACACGGTCACTTGTGTTTTTCAAGTCAACATAAACTCCCAAATCTGAAACATCCTATTGCTAGCTGAATGATCTGTGGTCTTGTCTTATGCTACAGCATATTTTTTGTATTTGCATGCAGCAAACATGCTGCAAATTTGATCACAGAAAGTGGTTGTTTTCCAGGAGTTTGATTTCAGCACCAGACTAGGAATTCACTTGCTGGATGTGGTAATAAGAAAGAAGCAGTAATATAGAGGCATAAAGGCCACTCTATCAATTACTGATGAATTTGCTGTTAACTCTGTTAACTAAAAATATCCATAAAACCCACGAAGCAATTAGAAGCTAGTATTAGATTTCTCTGATAGTGTTGAAATATCAGTGTTGAGGTGCTGTGATGTCTGGGAGCTCCTTGGCACTGGGGTGTTGGGGGACCCATGAGGGATCTGGGAGGCTTTGGCAGCCAGGGTCTCCATCCTTATCCCAGGAACAAGAAAGCCAGGACAAGGGGGAGCAGTAGGTGAGGCAGCCTCAGCCCCAGTGATCTCAGGGTTAAAATCAAGCCAGGATCCCCTGGTGTGTGAGTGAAGCTGAGGTGGGACAGGGTTTGATGGTCCTGGGAGGTTGATAAGAGTTTTGGGTTGTGGATAAGGTGGGGAGAGCTCCAGGCTCAGTCAGGGTTCCCAGAGCCTGAAAAGTTTGAGAAAAACTTCACAAAGAATTTAATCTATTCTCAGATTGGGTTAGATGTTGAGGAGGAAACAAACAAACAAACAAAAAAACAAAAAAAGGCTTTGGAGATAGCTATTGGGTAAGTGCCCGTTGCCAACATGTTAAAGCAATAAGACATTGATTACTGAGTTTTTTTCAGGTTAAGCACAATTCTCAGCTGAGGAAAATATAGTGCTACAAGTAGACTGATCATACCCTTTGCAGATTGCTTTTATTCTGTATGAGATTCCTGGGAGATAAGGTCCTTGTAGTTTGTAATTTGTCTGAGCTGGGAAAGCAATGAGAAAGGCTGTAGAACTGGATTAGGGGTCAGAGGGTCTGATTTCCATTTTGGGTGACAGTTGCTTGGATTGAGCAAATCAATTGAAAGGAAACTGTAATGTTTCTTTTCCTCTCCTTGGCTATTTTTTGCAAAAGATTTATGGACCCATTTATCCTACTGATTTCAGTGAGACCACTCTCAATAAATATAAGAAGAAGCATAAACAGTTTGCCAGATTTACAGCTTAGATTAAAAGAGGGTTTTGGTGTGTTTCGTGAGAAATCCTTCTCCTGCTGCTTCATGGAGTGTTTGTGTGTTTGTGTTTGAACATACTGGAACATTCAGCTCCTGCAATACCTGGGTTACTGAGCACAAATTTAGCAGCTGACTTGGAACCACTGTCTGAGCATGAGAGCAAATAGCCAAATCCTGAGATGAGAATATGTGTTCTGTAAGATATTTAAGTGGCAAGCTAGACAAATTGGTAATATTATCAGTAATGGTGCTGTTGTTAATTTCACCCCAAAGAGTTATGAATTCTTTATCAAATTATGAGAAACTGAATACCTGTGCTTAGCTTCCCAAACCTCTGCTGTACCCACACGTAATGGTGCCTATTGAGACATATTCCTCTGAAGTGTTGGCAGTTACTTCTATGTGAAAGGGCAGCCATGAATTAAATTATTGCTCAGAGAATAGAATAATATCTCCTATACCACACCAACCAAATTTCCCTGGAAGTGCTTGAGCAACTTAACAGACAACAAAAGAAACATGAACGTATACTACCTAACCTATTTTAAAATTTTTTGCTATCTGTGATAGCAGAATTAACATATTCAAGGATTTTTTTCTTTACTATGCCTTTTGAGGACACCTTTTAAGGGGTTAAACAAATGCAAGTGTGGTGTGACTATTTTGCAGCTGGCTGGTACATGTGACTTGTTTCATTCCCAGAGATAGGCATGTGTGTTCAGGCACTGTTACACCCTCAGCACTCTGACTTGTGTAACATCACTGATTCCTAAAGTGCTGAGCACAAAACCCAAACTTTTCTTTTCTGCTAACAATACATTGCTTTCAGGCTCCCTTTCACTATTTCTTCTGAAAGCTGCATAGCACCTAGGTGTGCTCCAGAGCACTTCTGAGGTGGAATTTTTGCTTAGCCCAGATAAATTATCTTCCCTGCATCTTTTCTATGTTTTTTTTTTTTTTCAGAGTAGCTTTAAGGATGAATTAA